TTCATCAACTAAACAAGACGTACCAGATTACGCAGCCCAAGTCATGCCTTTCCTTGGAAGGTTAAACGTTAATGACCCTAGACTGAAAGGTTAGGACAAGTTGTTTCGTAACTTGACTTACATGCTTACAAGCTCATATCTCATTATATCAATCATACTTGCTTACGGACTTATGCAGTCTCGTTCATTGCTTTTTCTCGGGTCATTATGCCTTGATGATCAGAGTCTGACATTAACCTTTTGAACACTCTGATTTAAGACTCGTATAGTGTATAGACGCTAAGACACACTAACACACTCGAACAGAAGTAGCAGAACCAGTCCTAAAGATAATTAGTCAAACCACTATATATCTATCTAGGTTTTTCATTTTCCTTTGCTTAATTGAGTCTATATAATAGGTAAGATAGAGCCGGATGGTCTTGTTGGCTTAATGTTAACGCAAAACTTTTACAAGAACGAGTTCCAGCTTTGCTGATGTACACCATTTGATGGACGAAAGCTGAGCCCGTTTTCACCCGAAACCCGGGAGGAGTTAATGCGGACTGCGTAAACCTGAAGGTCGTATAGTCTTCACAGTAATCTTATTTCATGAGATTCATCGAAACTCAGATTCTCTTCGATACAAACTTAAAATATGTAATATGGGAAATTCCAATCATTCTTCTTGACCCAGCGTTAACTTGATGCTTTTGTAAGATTGATTCCCAGCTCTGACAATGTTACTTATATGACGAATGACAGCCTTGTCTGCCTTCGTCTATAATGTTCGAGGATGTCTCTTGGACTGCATTATCCTGAACGTCATATTAATGCAACACGGCTGCAGTACAACGCCAATCAGCCAACGTTTTCCGTTGAGATTGACTTACGAATATCTTCATCCCACACTTCCATACGAAATGATAGTCCTCACATTAATTCAGATATATAGGAATTGTGATTTTATTTAGAACCATTTCCAAAACCCCTAGATCCTTAGCCTCCTTTCACAAGGATTTTCCACACCCTCTCTGTCCTTAAGTCTATCAATTATGCTGAGGTATTTATCACTTAACTTTCTTAATCTATTGATTTAGATTGTTTCTTTAATTTTGGTATTGCTGCAGACATAGCATTAGCAACAACATGATGAGATTGAGGCTTATCTTCCTTTTACTCCGTCTCTACATTGTTTTAACCTATCTCCAATCTTTGAATCAAACTGCATCTACAGTCACTTTTGACCTTAGCTACCTTTGGCCGAGTCATGCTACAGGTCTTTCCAGCACAAGTATGGTCGATTGAAAATAACTATATACTCGTGCATTTAGACAGGTGCAAAATATGTGTGTACAAATCTTGGTTCCTCAAGTTACAAAGACAAAATCATGACATAAGATGAGATTTATCTTACATTGTCTTTTTTCTGATACTCTCCATTCTATCTTCTACTTCGCATTACTCTCTTGTTATTATTAGCACACAGTTGTCTTCAGATGTTATCGGACCACGAATTCCTTCACCATACCGTTTCACTTAAAAGAGTTGTAAGCCAAACAATTTTAAGCCAAGTAAACCATCAACATTACCTTTTATTCGTATAGCTTTATTGATATAGCCTCAGTTTGATGGTCTTCAATACTTCAATGTCACTCGAAGCAGTTGGGCCCTGTTTCGCTTACTCTAATTCAGACAATAAGTCAGTTTGAAGCATGTCGATTGAAAAATACGAAGTGTTACTTAATCTATGCGCAGAGAAACGCATACAAACCAGATTTGCGTGGTTTTCCTTTGAGTCCTGACTACTTCGTATCGGGCTGTAAAATCACATAAATATCCTCATAGCCATGTTCTCATAATATCCAAACTAATCTTTTGGGGAAATGGCTATTTTTTTTTTGGGCCTTATCTCCCTCCTCTCCTCCATAATTCTACCATTATTTTTATTTCTCTTGTTACCCTTTTACAGAGCCAATTTCAATTTGTATGTGAAGCAATCCTCAAAGTTTTTCGAGGTACGTTCAATATTTATCTTACCTCTACCTATAAATATTAATATTTCGGTTGAGCTAAAAAAGTATTTCAGAGCATTTTAATAAATAGGTTGTCTAACTATTTTTAGCCTGGCCTTAAGTTACGGAAGGCCAATATTATTATTTCTCCATTGGCAGCCAAAGAGAAAAAAGTATCCCTTAAATCAACTTTACTAAAGTCGAGCCCATCTAAATTTTCTAAAATGAAGGAACTAGATGTGACCAGAACTAAAGAAGCTGCATAATACATTTTAAGGCCCAGTCAATGCCCATATCGGAAGCGCAACTCACAGCAAGAT